CACAATAATAACTTGCCCTCATTTTAAGTGCTGGAATATAAGAATTTATTTCAACTAATATTAAGCATGACACTAATTCAGTATTAAATGCTAAGCACATTAGCAATTATGATACAGTGCACTATTACTTTCCAAGTCTCTGCAGTAAGTTTTTCATGATTAATGGTTTATTTTTTTTTCTTTTCCATGCAGAACTTATCATTTGAAGTGGTTTGACTTCAAAACAACCCAATCATCAGAATTTTTACTTATGCCATTTTAATATACATTTCTTACACCTGACTCTATCCACCAACCTCAATTAGAGTAATTGTATAAGAGTTAATTGCATGCAGGTAGTTGAATCATTGTGTTTAATCCATACGAAACCAACCTAAAGTTCCAGTTTTTGTAAAAACAATAAACCAAAAAAAGAACCTCGAATCCTTGTTTAACTTGTTAAAACATAATTAAAATTATATTGTCCGACCCCCCCCATAGGTCAAAGACAATTCCTGTAGTATACAATGGAATATGATGATTGCTTTCTTAAAACATTCACACAAACAAATGTGTAAGTGGGTTTGTAATGTGTACAAAATAATAGGTATTAGCATTACAGATTTTCCTTGGTTTTACTTTTCTATCAGTAACTTTGAAAGTAAAAGTCGAACGTATTTATAAACTCGAGAAGCTCAGCAATCCTGAATTAAATATAATGACCAACAGTCTTGGTTTGACTAGGACTGAGAGGTTCTTAGATCTTTTAGTTTTAAAACCAGGACAATCTGAAGCAGTTCTAGTATTAAAACCAGAATGTTCTAAGGCAAACCAGGGTAAAATGGTGCTGGAATAAAGACAGTTTTGGAAAAAGGAACTTTTTAAACATCTTTTCCTGCCCTTTCAGGATTTTTCAAATTTCTCATCTGTCTACCTTCCCAACCCCAAAGTCAAGCAAGTTAATGTTAAAGGACACTTTTATCTCCTTGGATCCAGAACAAGACAGCAGCAACACTTGTAAGTCTTGCAGAAGGCAATGAGGGGTAGGGGATTGGGCTCTATATCAAATGGTCTGGATTTAAACCCAGACTTTGCCATTCATTAGGTGGGTTATTCTGTGCCTCCATTTCCTCAGATATAAATAGAAATATTAATAATATTCAACTAGAGGTTGTATGAATAGTGTCTGTCATGCATTAAAATTTAAAGGAAATTAGTTACTTTTATTGTGATCTTGATTATGATTCGCAACTTAGAACAAGCCATTATGTCTGCCAGTAATAGCTTTCATATCTAGATTCTTAGGAGTACTTGCTACTTTTAGCAATTTTCTGCAAAGTGTGGCTTCCATTACCTAAAAATCTCAGCTATATTTTTGTTTATTTGTTTGTTTTCCCTGTTCAAGATATACCATGAAATGGTAGAAAAAAATTTCAAACTTAGGACTCTTCCAGGAAATGTAGCATCCATGGAATGGACAAATGGATGATAAAATTATCACAGTTCTTTTGGGGCTAATTATGTTTTTAGTGAAGGATAATAAATTCTACAGACTTTATTTTTTAATGGCCAGTATTATAATAAAGCTAAATTATTGAATATCCCATTAAATGATTCTGAGATCCATTAAGGAAGACATGGTACTATTTATTCTTGATCATGAGGTTTGGGTGCAAAACTGAAGAGCATATTGGAGTTCTAACATGCCACAATTTGGTCTGACTACCAGTAGGACTTTACTTCTGTTAAATCTATGACAAAGACAGACTGCTGAAAAGCAGGCTGTGAGTTGACTATGGAACTCTAGACTGTGAATTCAGTTCCTTCAAAATTGCATCGTTCTACGTGTTAGCATCTAACATCAAGGCCTCAGCTCAGACAGGCATTGGGAAAAGAGTTCAGCCCATGCTATTCCCCTCCACTCCATTCCAGATGGAATTTGTGATAGATGTTTCCTAAGCAGAATGTAGACTTGTGCCTTATCTTTGATCTGGTAATTTAGCCAATTAAGTTTTCTATGGGACACATAGTAAAGATAATTTGTTGAAATGTAATTGCAAGATCTTGATTTTTCACATAAAGTTTATTTCCAGCATTTACTAAGTACAGTGCAAAAGATGTTTAAGAAAATATTAGAATCACTGAAAAGGTTGAGATGGAAACCTGGCTCCTCAAGATCTAAACAACCAGTCAAAAACATCATTGAAAAATTTACTTAAAATGTTTATTTTGACTTTAAGAATGAGAGAGAAAAGCCTAAAATTTTGAAATTTGCATATATAATTATAAAGCATTTAAGGGGAAATGAAATTATTTTTATAATATAGGCTAACATAACTGAATATAGTCTATACCTTGAACACCTTTTAAAGTCAAAATTGTAATGAATGGATCTTTTTAGCCATTTACTTTGTGTTTGTTACAAAAGACTCTTAATATCAGATTCATCCTAAAACATTTTGTATCATGAAAATTCCATTTAAATTAAAATATAATGTGGATACATCCTATGTTTCATGTAGATATACTAGCTTAAATAGTGAAAATTATTTACACAAGTCAGTGTAAAAAACCTCACTTTTGTTCAAAATACCTGAATATTTTTGGTTGAAGTGCTATTTTTTATTTTTGTTTTTGGGACAAATGCTTTAGTTTCTATTTTCCTTTGTATATATAGACAGGCTTTCTACAAATGAAGAAAACCTCTCTCTACTTTGTGCTGCTCAAAGACATTAAGTAACCCCATTTAAGCCTTAAATGAACTCTAAAAACAAAACTCTGCTTAGCAGTTGTCTAATGATGTCCCCTATACATTGCTTTGGATATATTTTTAGATATAAACTCTTGGCATCACAGACCCCAATATAGATCTATAGGAAAAAGTCATTTAGTCTTAAAGGTTTTCCTATGGAAATAAAGAACTCCCACAGGTTGAATAAGATAAGAATTTGGCCTTTTGCCTAGAAGAAGGAAATTGTCATGGAAGCTCTTTCAGAATACAGTCAGTTATACAAAGCCATAGTACTTCTGCTTGGTTTACTTCTAATTGAAACAACAATAATTCAGAACAGTTATTTACTGCTGTCAGTGTATGTATGTTATTCATGTTTCTTCCTTACAAACGAAAATGTTTCGGGAATTATCCACTTTATATAATACATTCTGAAATGAATGCACTTCCGAAAATACATGTTGAAAAGCAGGAAAATTAAGTGTCTATGTCATCTTTACTAAGAGAATTAGATCATAATCCGTGTGAAAGAATGTTTAGGATTGTTTATCCTTTGTCATTTATATCTCCAATCACAAACAAATACACTTTAAATCAAACAGCTTGTTAACGTTGGTTTTTTCTTCCTTCCTTCCTTTTTTCTGTAAGCTCAAATACAAAAAGTGTGTATTCAAAAGCAAAAGTAAGCAAGTTTTTTGATACTAATATTTGTATTCTTGGCTAAATTTAGATTCCAGTGAATAGTTGTGCATTGTAATTCAGTTTTAATTTATTTTCTATCTACTTTGTTTTAATGTTAAGGAATGACCAAATAGAGCATTGAAGATTATAATACTCAGTGCCCAAGAATAGTAATTAAGAGGCTGCTAATAAAGCTGCTAAAAATTTGATGAGTTGCTGAAGATTTAAGCAAATATTAGGAATTTAGGTAAGTGTTGGGTAAATATTTGGGGATTCTAAACATGCGTTCCCATGATGGGAGAATAACCCTTGGACAGAAAGGATGCTACCCAGTTGTCATCACTGTAGGAAATATTGTAGGGGCAGGGATGGGGGTGGGGGAGTGGGTGGGTGGGGTGACTGGTACAGTATGGTGTGCAGTTTAATGTAGCCCATTTGGTCTTCCTTCCCGTTTAGGATTTTCCCTCTTCTTCAAAGTTTGTGTCAGGATTTCTTCCTCACCATTCAAGTGGAAAGATACATTCCTAACAGCTTGGTTGTCAGGAAAGTAATATTTTCAAAGGTATGGTTCAGTTTCACGGTGAACTTTTTGGAACTCGGGAATGATTTTTTTAACTCCCACCTCCTCCCCCGCCAAATTCAGCAACTGGAAGAAGCCAGGCCCATCAGTAAACTATTCTCCAAACCCTAGTCCAAAGCCAGAGGGATGATGGAGAAGCTGAGCAGCCTTCTAGGGCCAGAATCCGTTTTTGGCCATTGCCCTAAAAAGAGTTCCTTAATTTGAGTTTGGAAGGGGCAGAAAAAATGAGTCACTAGCAGGAGCTACCAGACAGTAGCAACGCTTAGGGGGGGAAAGTTAGACACCCCCCTTCCTCCAACCCCAGTTTTCCAAAGGCTGTACAGGAGAATCCCTCTCTGGCACGGACTCGCTCTCACCTTTTGAGAGGCAAGTTTCTTTTCAAGCATTAGCCACCTGTGTGAGGCGCTCCCCGTGGGAAAGGTGGCGTGGGAGAAGCGAAAGCTCAGTCACAGCGCTCGGGAGCTTTTCTTGGTTGAGGCTGGTGGTCCAAATACCTTCAGAACTCAGAGCTCTTAGGATGCAGAGTCCTCTCTGCTCTCGGATGTCGCCAGGATCGTAGCTCAGCATTCTCAAGACTGGTGTGCTCTGGAGCGGCTGACGCCTGCCCGCTTTGCACGGGGTCCTGCCTGTCCTCGCCCTCCCAGCTCCCCACCCCCAAAGCAGTGCTCCCGCCTTGCTCCGCCCGCACATCCCCCAGCGCGCCTCCGAGGTTTATCAGGTCCTCACACACACGGCCGGCTTCCTTTGGCGCCCGGCGCGAGTGACCCGGCCGGACCCGCCGCTGCCTTGGAGCCCCATTCACGTCCCCTCCTCCCGCTCCCCGCCACCGCGCCTCCCGCCTCTGCGCCCCCGCGCTGCGGCGCCCACCGCGTTTCAGGTTTAATCCCCGGTTGGACCTGCTGTTCTGCTCATCCCCACGCTCAGCCTCTCAGTAAGCCCCGAGAAGTGGAATCTGCACACCGCAACTCTCGGTGGCTGGAGCCGGCGGACTGGGCATGCTCAGAAGCCAGGGCTGGCTTTGGTCTCAAGTAGGAAGCTTTTGCACTCGGGAGGCAGCGACGACTTTGGGGAAAGTTGATCGGAGAGGGGAGGAAGCCCCAAGACGCGGAGCAGCGGCAGGAAGGAGCCCCCGGCAGCCCGGAGGAGCATGGGCACCCTGCGGGATTTACAGTACGCGCTCCAGGAGAAGATCGAGGAGCTGAGGCAGCGGGATGCTCTCATCGACGAGCTGGAGCTGGAGTTGGATCAGAAGGACGAACTGATCCAGAAGCTGCAGAACGAACTGGACAAGTACCGCTCGGTGATCCGACCGGCCACCCAGCAGGCGCAGAAGCAGAGCGCGAGCACCTTGCAGGGCGAGCCGCGCACCAAGCGGCAGGCGATCTCCGCCGAGCCCACCGCTTTCGACATCCAGGATCTCAGCCATGTGACCCTGCCCTTCTACCCCAAGAGCCCACAGTAAGCGGGGGTTACGCGCCGGGTCCGTGTGGCACCCTGGCGGTGGGGAGCTGCGGGTCTCTGTGTTGTCTGTCGGCCCCCGCCCCTCCCGCTTGCCATGTCTGTCCTCATCCTCAGGAATGTTTCATTTTAACGGGCACTTCTTACGGGGCTGTGCACGTTTCGCAGAGCCAGACTCACGGCACATACGTTGCCTTCGTGTCTTTGTCAGATGTCAAGGTATTATTTTTAAATACACATATACATTTATATATGCCGCCTAGTGTACGTAGAGTTTGAACGCGCCCCAGGTGTGTGTCCGACCGTGCGTGTGAGTGTGACGGGAGAAATTAAAAGCCCCGTCTCCCAAAAGCCCTGGCAAACCATCCCAGCCGGAAAATCCTAAATGCAGGCTCATCAGACTTGAAGTGAAATACGTCTGATAGCTCCCTTACTTTCTATGCTTTTGTGGCTCTCGCGGATTTCTCTACCTGCTGGCGCTTCACGCTGGTACCTTTCAAACCTGAGGTTCTGTCATTATCAAAGTGTAAAAAATAAGCAAATATCCATATAAAAGGGAAGTATTTTTTGATTTCTTGAGTTGGATGACATTTACAATCCATAAGTGGAAGACTAGTCTGTTGAATTTTTAAAAATATTTTTTCGTAACATCTGAGGGAGAAGATTGCTTATTTTCCTTCAGGAATTTGCATAACGGTACTAATGGAGCAGTTCCAGCACCCAAGAGGGTCGCATGTTTCCAGGGTCAAATACAGAGAAGTACACTTACCTTATTTACAACGTGGACACATTGTTTGCCTTACTCCTGGCTTCTAATGCAACCACTCTGGTATTGTTCTAGCATTTTAGAGAACTGTGTAGTTCTGATATCAGTGGGCTTCAGAACTTGGTTTGGGGAAAAAATTGAATGAAACTTGTTATACAGCACTCAACTCAGAATCCATATGGAGAGTAAAGAAGCAGACATAGGAGGTTAACATAGAATGAGGGAGAGCATACAAATGAATGGCATTTTTAATTAGTAGATAATGACATAATTGATAAAACCGAGGATTTTGCTACTCTTAACTACATCACATTGTCTGGGTGACACGTGTTACATAATAATACAAAGTCTCTTGAAACCCTTTGCTTCATAAAGACAAGGAATTAATATAAAGAGAAAAAGTAAATACTTGATTACCTCTATTTATATTTATTGGATTTTTGGGGGGAGAGATCAGGAGCATGCACTCATTATACTTTTAAAAACTTAGAGTTATACCTATACATAGTGATTCTCATGGAACATTTGCTGTTCCTCATGCAAGTGTAGCTTAAGGAGGAGTTTGTATTCTGTGAGGGAGTGGAGAAGAGACAATAAGGATAAACATACCTGAGATTCTGACCTTACCAAGTTGCCCTAATAGTTCAGCAGACTTAGATTTGCCTTAGAAACCTGAGTGATCTGAATCGACTTCAACTTTCTCTGGTAAATTAATTTGCAGTCCTGACATGCTTGCCTGTTTTAGCTAACAAGATACATGACCATCTCTCCTGGGCCAGGTTTTGCATAATGAAAAAATAACTCGAAGACAGCTCCCTGCATCTTTAAGCATTCCATAAGATTTCATTTTAGTATCTGCAGGACTTTGGAGTAACAGAGCAAACTCTGCTGTTATGAAAAGACCATTTTAATAGGGTTTATAATGAAGCATGACCAAGTCGGCTGATAACTCCAGTTAAACGTTCTATCAGAGAAGATCTAAAGGAATCTAGGCAGTAGGGAATGAACTGGACAATGTGGTAAGTTTTAGAAACCTCTCAGTGTTTGACACGTAGAATAACTAGATTAAAAAGAAAAGTCCATGGTGGAAAATGAAATTAGTGTGGCAAATAATTTACAACATCCATTATAATAAACATTTTATTCATTGAACAATGTTGTATGTCTTCATATTTATTTAATAACCTGTGTTTTAAAGAACTCAGCTATTAAGGTATTGCCATGATGGATTTTGTGATTCTGAAGGATTTTATTGAAGAAAATGATAGAATGTCTTCTAAGCTTAAATATTTTTGGAAAAACATCTGTTCTTTTTTCACACTTACATAAAGAAAACTAGAATAAAATTGGCTTGAGTAGTAGAATGTGTACCTTTCTTAGGGGAAAAAGAATTATATTGTATGCAAAATGATTATATATTAGGTCATTTTAATGGCTGTACAAGATAGCTCCACAAAGAATTAAGAAAACTTGCCAAACCAAAGAAGACCTGTTTGCATTTCAGTTTATTTCACCATGAATAATTTGAGTACACAGACTTATTGGCAACAAGTGTTTATGTTTTTATATTCCATCTTTTCTGCAACTTAAATTTAGCCATCTTTCTTAAACTTACGCATAGATTATTATGAGTTCAAGTTAAAACAAAACCAACTAAATAGACTAAAATTAATTTCAAGTTCACATTCATGTTAGTTTTGATACTGTTTTTTTTTAAATATAGGTAACTGCGCAGCTAATGTTCTGTTCAATTATCTGATGCATGCAAATATGTTTGTCTAGTTTTTGCTTACTGAGGTTACTTCTGAAGATTATAATTTTTTTAAAAAATTCTATTTTCTTAGTGATTTTTGATCATTTAAAAACAGTGTAAAATGTAAACTAACTCAAAACTTTAATCATCTTAACATTTTTGGTTTGGAATTTTCTCTTGAAGGTGGGAATTGGAGGGAAGCCTCTGTCAAATTCCAGCACAGAACGAGGGCACCTTGCTACACCTGTGAGGTGGGAGGAGTGTTTTTGTTGGTCTCTTTCACAATCTGTATAGATACAGTCCTTAAGCCCTTCTTATGTTATGAAAGGGAAGCAAAGAACTGATGTAGCAAATTGGAATCTGTTTTCCACTGCTACCAAATAACTACTTGAGAACGTAAAACTACTAGACTGTATATTTTGAAAGAAATTGAGCAAATTCTAAAAAATTAAAAAAGAAAAAAAAAAGCCCAAGGATCCATTATATAAAATCAGATTGCCTGTTGATTGTGTATATAGAATGGGTCTTACGGACTTTCAAAGTAATTTTATTTCATAGCATTTTATTCCTGAAAATTGATTCTGTAATAGGTTAGAACATCCAGTTTCTGATATTTTGATCTAAACCCTTTACCTATTGAAAATATTCCCAAATCTTTTTCATTTTGCTGTCACAGGGTTCTATGTCATTTTGGTTGCGCTATACGGATTTAAATTCCTAGAAGTTGTTAGTGTCTCTGTATTTATGTTAAGCTATTGCTTTTCACTCCAGAAGTAGCTGAATTTCAGAGAATTACATGTTCTCTTCTTTTTTACTTTTTGATTGTGAAGTACTTTAGAAGAGTTGAAGATAAAAAGAAACATATTTTCTCATTTTTAATGAGGCATTTTATAAAGATCTTATATGATCTTTTCAACCTTGACACTAATATAGCTCAAGAGAAATCCAATCTTCCTAAAGGCTGTATGTTAAATTCTGTAGGAATTTGAGAGAATTCTGGAATTCTAGTGTAATCAGAAATGGCATGCTATTAAACCATGAATTTCTTCAAAGGTAGAAATTAAATATTCCAAATGTGCCCTATAGCTCAGTTCAACACTTTTATGGGACGTCTGCCATGTGTAAAATATTGTAAGGCATTAGAGGTGAGAGATACATAGGTCCTACCATTAAGGAGTTAATAAGAGGTTAACAGTGCTACACAAGTAAATAGTCTAGAAAGTAGAGTAAGGTAAATCACAGAGGAGATAACTAAGACAGTTGGCAAAATGTAATCAAGCCCATTTAATTTTATGGTATCAGAAATTCTTGTGGATGTGGAAGTATTTAAGATTTGAAGGATGGCCACGATTTAGTTGAATGGAAATGAGACGAAACAGGGAGGGGTGTGGGGAAGATAGATTAGCAAAGAGATAAGACAGAAAAAGTAAACAGGGCACATCTGGGGATTGGCAGCAACTAGTGGCTGTACTAGAGTACTGTAGAAGGAATTGAGGAAAAGCAAGTTTAGGCCAGTGAGAGTGAGGATCTTAGTTTATATGATTTTATAAAGTAGGTGAGAGGGCATTCTGCTTATTCTGCTTTTTAGAATAATCAAGAATTATTTATGTGGATATGTTTTACACTGAGGACTAATTATTATCCACTAGTAAAATTCTGAATCTCAGCATTGTCAGTTTAGCCCTCTAACACCCACCAGCACAGTCCTGATAGTAGTCATAACTATACTAACTAGATAAGAGTATTTAATTTAATCAAGCCACAAATGATTAAAACTCTTAAAGAAACCAAGTTGCTTTTTCCACTCACTTCAAAATGTTCCCTTGAAAACAATCTAATTTTATGCCATAGACTAGCACTGCAGATCCTCACATACCTAAGTAAACTGGACATAGATGAGAATTGAACCTGAAGTTGGTTTTTGTAATTCATCTTTCCTGTGTTTTTTTTTTTTTTTGTGGAGGAGTTAAATTCTGACCTAACGTTATTCTAATAGAGTTTCCAATTTAAGTTTGATCATTAATTTGACATTACACTCTATGCAGTAAAATTAAAGTCGTGGAAGCCTTTATAAAAATGTGTAAGACCAGGTTGCTAAAACCCTGTTAGGGTGTTTGGAAGCATAGTCAAGTTGCGTGCCCCCACAATGGGGCTTATAATGACAATACTGACAAGCCCTTAAATTTAATAGCTCTGGAGACTGCCTGAGAATATAAATGACCAGCTTCCTTGCTCTACTGGGCCACATTTCCAAGCTCCTGCTACTTGTTATTTTGCTAGAGAGTTCAGTTTGGATTCCTAATGCGAAAGAGTACAGGAACGCAGATGATGTTTCCGTTGTTGCTGTTTGCAGGTTATAAGGCATATGGACACATTTTTTTTTTTCTTCTGCCTAGCAATGGAGGGTCTCCATGGTATCCTAGCAACCAAAGAACACCAGGCTGCTGTTCTTTCTGCCATCTCCGCTATAGGTACTGCTGC